TGGTGGCAGCACTCATGGCACTGTAGGCAAGGGACAGCTGGGACAGTTGTCCCTGGCGTACAGTCAAGTATAGTGGTGGCAGCACTCATGGCACTGTAGGCAAGGGACAACTGGGACAGTTGTCCCTGGCGTACAGTCAAGTATAGTGGTGGCAGCACTCATGCAGCCCCAAACCATGATGCTGCCACCACTATACTTGACTGTACGCAAGGGACAGCTGTCTTGGTGCTCTCTCTCAGCATGTGTGGCACCTTGGTAAAGAGCACTAAGACAACTGTCCCTTGCCTACAGTCAAGTATAGTGGTGGCAGCATCATGGTTTGGGGCTGCATGAGTGCTGCCGGCTCTGGGGAGCTCAGTTCATTTAGGGAAACATGAATTCAAGCAGAGCATGATCGCCCCTCTTCAGAAACTGAGCCGCAATGCAGTTTTCCAATATGCTAATGACCCAAAACACATCTCGTTGATGACAACTGCCTTGCTGAGGAAGCTGAAGGTGAAGGTGATGGACTGGCCAAGTATGTATCCAGTCCTAAACTCACCTGTGCACCTGTAGGCCATCCTCAAGCTGAAGGTGGAGGAGCGCAAGGTGTCTTCACATCCATCTGCTTCATGATGCCATCATGGAGGAGTGGGAGAGAATTCCTGAAGCAACCTGTGAGCTCTGGTGAATTCCATGCCCAAAAGGGTTAAGGCAGTGCTAGATAATAATGGTTGGCACACAAAATATTGACACTTTAGGCACAATTTGGACATGTTCATTGTGGGGTGTACTTACTTTTGTTGCCAGCTGTTGTGATGTTGATGGTTGTGTTTTGAGTAATTTTCAGAGGAAGGTAACTCTATGCTACTATACAAGCTGTACACTGACTACTTTAAGTTAAATCAAAGTGTCATTTCTATAGTGTTGTCCCATGACAAGATATAATGAAATATTTCCAAAAATGGCAGGGGTGTACTCACTTGTGTCAGATACTGTATATGGGATACAAAAGGGGGTCCTTAAAATTGTTATCACACAGTCCTCTTAAAGCTGTCTAGCTGCACCATAATCTTGTGCAATTCCTCAATCTCACGGTGGTGATACTCATGGCGGAAGTCCATGAAAACTTACTTCACCCATTTTTTGACTAATGCCTTGTTCTGGTAATTTGACAGCAAACATGCTACTGCCCACAGTTCGTTGATGTTATAGGCATGATAGGGTGATGGTGCCATCAAAAAATTTGTTCTCCTTTATCCTCCTGATGACACGCTCCACATGTACCCTCAGTCTGGCTATGGCCTGTGTCTCCTTCACCTGGTATGCGTCTGCTTAGACAGAAATGGTGGGCAGTACACCTTGCATTTGCAACAATCACTGATTAGGAAGCCCTTGTCTACCATCACTGCCATGTCTTCTGTCAGCAGCTCAGCTATTCCTGATTGTTTGAATATCTCCTTATCACTAACTGAACCACCATACAGCTCAGAGATGAATGTCACTGCACCATGTGGGGCTATGCCAACCAGGGCTTTCATGGTGCAGTGGGATTTGTATGTCGAGTACATCTCACTTTGGAGGAGGAGTGAGGACGGTGTTTGACACCTTAGCTCTGTGCAGTCTAGGATCACCTGGGTGTCTGGAAAATCTTGGAATTCCTCAGGGAGGTTAGCTTGCACTTCTGCAGGTGTAAGCCAAATGCATACAGACCCCAGTGCAGTGGCTAGAAAACTTGTCCATGTTGCAATAATGCGGCTCACTGTGGATTGGTGTATGCTGAATCGATTCGCCAGGTCCCTTTCCTTCAAACCAGCTGACAGGTAACTGAGGAAAAGAAAGAACTCATCGATGGGCTGGAGAACCTGTCTCTGGGAGGTAAAAATACAGAAATAAAGGTTATTCCTCAAAGGAATTGTTTGGATTATTTGAAGTGTGGATGTATGAGGTACTTCTCCATAGTCACTGTATTACCTACAGTAGATGGTGGTCGACATGCCCCCACAGTTTGTAGAAGCAGCAGGAGTACTGCTGTAGGACGTTAAGCAATGTACTGCTGTGGACAGGGTCAGCAGCAACACGAATTATAGCCACCTAAAAAACGTTTTCAGTGTAGTGTACACCATATTTAGAATACTTTCACTGATTTGCCTTGCTGTCAGACAGACTTTTCTGATGGGAAAACCCTATATGAGCCAAATATCACTCTCTCCAATTGTGTGACTTGTGATTTGAATGATTAGTATAGATTCATCAAAGTCACATAGTAACACAAACAAACTAATAGATGGAGGCAGCAGTGAAAGTGCAACTCCTGTATTCTGTGAAGTAAAAATTTCTGATTTTGTCAAAACAGTATGGCGGCTTCGGACAGTGATTTTTTTTTTAGGTGTCTTAAATACGTGTTGCTGCTGATGCTGTCCATAGGAGTACATTTCTAAGCTTCTTACACCAGCTTGTCGATGACCATCTACTCTAGGTAATACACTTACTATGGATAAGTATTTCATACAACCCCTATTAAAACAACTGGAACTACTCCTTTAAGATATGAAATAGTAAGGCAGTGCTCTTGTTTGGTAAAATTTTTATAAAGGTTAGGTGTACCATAACATGGAGAAAAACAGTGAGTTACAAGGGCACTGTTGTATTTAAGTGTGACTAAGTCCTTTAATTTACCCTTTAGACTCACAAAAAACGCATTATCACATCTGTAACTGTAACACCACGTTTACACATAGCCGGGTATTTAGAGAAACGAATATTTCCCCCCCTCCGTTTTCAATAATAACATCGTGCACACAACATCGTTTCAAAAATGTTGTCATTTACATGAACCCGGATAAATACGCCGTCGAGTGCCGTCATAACTATGCCAAACATATGGGCGGCAGTGTAGGGAGAAGGATGAAGCCATGCAAGCCAATCAGAATCCTCAGAATTGATAACAACAACAACACTGAATAAGACGCGCGACTTCCTGTTCTTTTCAAAACAGTAAACATGCGAGAGGTTCATTTGTGTGGACTGACAGTGAAGTGGAGCTACTCGTAAATGTCGCTTAAAGCGTTTGCAAAAACGTAAAAATGAGTACCACCTTAACAGCATCCATGATCAGTAGCCAAACAAAGTGTAAACATAGGTCGCTCACATGACGTCAAGCATTTGCTGGCACATGCTGTGACGTTTCAGAACCTTAAACCCTGTTTCACCCAGTTTAGATGGCAACACATAAACAGCGTTTTCAGAAATCTCCACTTTGGCCAGAGTTTTTACAAATGATCGTTTTCCGTGAAAAAAACTCTGCGTGTAAACAAGAGGCCAAACCGCATGAAAATATGTGCGTTTTTTCCTACATGTCAACGGGGTATAAAGCACACACTGACTTACCGTTGATGAACGTGCAGGAGTGACGACTTCTTCATTTCTTTTGGCAGCTGATTTGGCTCTTGTGACCCGGACCATTTTATAAATGCAAGGCTCAATCAAAGACCAAAACGACATCAGGTGCTCATAGCTTGAAAATCTATTCACAAAAGACACATATATCACACATACACCATGTCATTAATTAACATAGATAAAATCACACACTACCAAAATAATGTGAACTGTAACAACTATGATTACAATTCATCTCGTGTGCTATTTATCGTTCACATAGACTGGTTAAGAAGCGATTTGGTGTTGTAATTTATCTGTAATGTTAGGTTACTTTCTAACCAACAATACGTCTCTATGAAAATACAGCTATCAAGTGGTAAGCAAATTAACATTCTTTATTAAGAGTGATGACAGGATTGTTTATAATTAACTGATCATAGCCTTGGTGAATGTTAAACAGCTGGAATATATACACCTTAGGTTAACTTACCTGGTATAGAATCGGATGTCTGTGTCAGAGCCGGCAAACCGCTGTAATCCAAACTTTCGCTGGAGACGTAACTCCTGTATCTCCTTTCTCAGCTCTTCCACTTCTGTGGACACATCCTCTGCGGCTGATGCTGACATGTCCATTGCAGCCGGTTCAGGGACTGAGCAATAATCGTGATCATTTGTGACACCGATGTGCTCTTCTTCCTCTTCAGGAGGGGCTACTTCAATGGGCCAATCTACTCTCTCCCACACACTGCGCTGTGGCGGTTCAACAGTATAACTATTCCACTCAAAAAGTGTCGGTACAGCACCTTTAACGAGCCGTCTTCGACCCTCAAGGGTTGTTGGTTCAACAAGCTGATCAGTGGCAAAGTGTCTGTTACAGACCTTGGAGTGAGAGGAGATGGTGAAATTATCACGGTGTATGTTTACTAGCCACTGTCCTCTCTGGTCGGGCTGGGTCGGAAAGCCGTGAAAACTTAGTACTCCGTTAAATTTCGATGATGCTGTACAAAGTGGTACACAGCAGTGCTCTGAGTATTTCTTCTCCTGTTTTTGAAAATGTCCCGTTTTAAACACGTTCCTCTTCATAACCATGGTGAAATGATGTAAACATTGACGCTATCCAAAGCTGCTAGCTAGCTAGGACGATGTAAACACATGGACCGGAAATGACCGAGCAGTATTGTTTCGAATCGGAAGTACGTCACAAAGCCTAGTGTATGTAGCGTATTTAGATGGTCTAAAACGCAAAGTGCCAGGCGTGCAGTGCATGGGCGTGTCCCAGTCACTTGCTAGTTAGACAGCGCGTTTTCAGACTGTGCACCATGGCGGAGAGTCTAAAAGGGTTGGACTTACTCTGTGAATTAGTCATGGGTGTGTTTTGGGCGTATGTAGCACTTTAAGTTTACAGGGACCAGAGTCTAGATTCAGGTAGAGTGGTTACTAGTACTAAGAATAACAGACCACAGACCAGTGAGTGATTTTTAACTGCCGGCTTATTTATATAGAGAATTATTAGAAGAAACAATGATCATATGTTGGTACCAAACATCTCACATACACACATGTAGAGATGAATTGTTCAACATCCCTTCAAACATTCAAAATGAAACCAAAATCTCAGGAAAATAAGGTTATTTATCCCTATTTATCTCCTTTATGTTTAACCCAACCTATTTGAGTTGGCATATAATTTTATATCTAGGTTTCTTATTGGTTGTTTAGTTACTGGTATCTCCTTTTAAGTTTACTCAGTTTAAGTTCTCGTTTTATCTCAGTTTAGGCCTATTTATGGGTTTTAGTTTTTCTACTTTCTCTTTAGTTTGATCAATCAACTCTATTTAAGCTTTAATTCACTTTTACACGACCCATTCATGTAATACCAATTTGGCACACAATGAGGAAAAAGTGAATAAATAAAAGAAGAAAAAAAAACAACAGTTCAATAAAATAAAAAATACAACTCAATCTCAGAGCTCACAGATCAATGTAAACAATAACTCAAATTTCCACAGTTTGGTGTATTACCAGTCTTTCGGTTATGTCCTTTATCAGTCCATATGAAATTCACTGTGTGTTGCTGCAAAACCTGTCAGTTTTGTTCTACCACGATCCCAGTGTCAGAATCAGTGTCTTTGTCCACGGTGTGCAGGTGAGTTTGCAGAATAGGTGATTCTCTGCTCCGACTCTCTCTCTCCTATGGGTGGCTCGCCATCTTCTTTCCACAGCTCCAGGTGTTTTCACACACCGGCGATCCCAACTAAAAAACCTGGCCTGCCATACAACAAGGCAACGCACATGCAGGCATTTTAGCTTCACATAAATCAGGAAAATAAATTAAATTAAATATAGGTTAACTATATTTCAGTGCTAGAAATATAGTTAACCTAGAACTGAAATATAGGTTAACTATATTTCTAGCACTGAAATATAGGTTAACTATCAACTTAAATCCAAACCGCGACCTAAAATGGCGACTCTCCTCTCGCTTTCACTCCGCCGCGAGGCAACTTGACCGTGTATGCTCTTTTTTTACAGCTTTTAACTACACATTACAAAAATGAAAAACACAAAATACACAGCACAACAGTTGTTCAGACTGCTTTAGTTAAGCTGCGAGTAATATCGTCTTCACATTAAGCTTGTAAACAAAGGAATATCTTGTTGATACACACGCTGAAAAAATAGCTTTTATCTCACCAAATCCTCGTTCAAAAATGAAATAAACAGAATCCAGCAACACGGACAGCAGGTGAATACAATATCCTCCCAAAAATGAAAGGAAAACAAGGTGTTGAATCTCAAAATACACTTCTTTTACTCCTATTTACTTTCTCCTTTCCTCTCGTTCTCAACTTTTCCGTCTCCCGTCTCTGGTGTTCTGCTCTTACTCTAGTTATTCACCCTCCCTCGCTTACGTGCTCGGCTGTTACCGTGATCGACTGTTACCGCTGTACTTGTTAAAGGAGCAGTACATATAAAATTAACAACAATTTGAACAGTAATTTACTTTCATAACATTTTGTTACTTTAAACACAATTATGATTGTATTTGCTTACATTTAGTATTGATCTAAGCTCCTATTAGTTTGTTTTCATATTTGCCTAGGTTATACGTATCATTCAATAAGCCAATCAGAGTGTCACCTCTCATTCCCTTTAAAAGAGGCGCACGGCGGAGAGCTAGTTAGATGGCGGACCTACCAACTGGAAAGAGTGAGCGTTTTACAGCTGAGGAGACGATAAATGTATCTCTGTATCGACTGTCCCGTCACATCTGATGTCAGATCAAAGGGGATTGGCACCGTTTGGCACATTTGGCACACGTAATGGAAACCCAACCTGATTTGATTAACACAGCTGCAATCTAATAAGTTCACATCCCTCTCAGCCAGCCACAAACAGCCACAGCATCAGATAGGGAGTATATATTCAGCATCTGTCATCTTAGAAAAGTCAAAAGAAAACAAACAGAGTGAGACTGCGAGAGAGAAAGAGAGAGCACGCGCACGAGAGAAACGCTGTCAACAAATTGTAAATTATTCAATTTATTTTATTTTAACCCGGGAGGTTAGACAGCCCAGCTCCCTCTCCAGCATCCCGACCCCCCCCGCCTGGTCTGGCTGTGCGCTGGCTGCGGAGCTGGGGTCATCCTCCTCCTCCTGACAAGATGATCTTCAGTTTTACGTTCTAAAAGCTTTTTTTACATATACATTTGTACTTGTAGGGCTATAAGTTTACGTTTTTAGTTCACAGAAGCTGGTTATTGGTGTGATTATGTCAAAATAAAGTTTAGCAAACGTTTTCACATCTTTGATTTTGTGATTTACATGCCAAAATGATCACAATTCAATTGGGAAAGACAAGTTCATTTTACAGGCTGTGCATCATCAGCCCGTGGAGGTCTGCTCGCAGTTCCGTATATTCGGACACTGTGAGCTCGGACCTCCCAGATTATGATTATCATTTTTACTGCGATTAGATCATTCTGATTAATGACTGACCATTAAGACGTGTTTCTGATAAATATTGTAATGTGCACAATAATAACCTTTCACATTGTAATCATATTTTTATTTGTTATCTTTTGCATATGTGTGGCTGCTCCATGTGTGTCTGAGCAGAGTGCACGCGCGTTGTGCACCCGCCTAGAGACGTATATTACTAACTTGTTTAACAGCGAAATATTGCGCCGTTGACTTTAGACCAGGTTTTTGTTGGTCACTGGCGCATTTGCTTTTTACGCCATCTAACTAGCAACGCGCCATGACTGCACCTGACCACTCCTCATTTTTAGAGCAACACACCCAGAGAAACGCAAGTTCATTTGCTAGTTAGACGACGAGGGTGCAGGGCGTGAAAATGACAACTGCACCTGCATCTAAATAGCAATGACACTTGCGACATGGACTATGCGCCCTCTGCCGTCCGCTTTAGACCATCTAAATAGGGCCCTGAATGTTCCAGCTGTTGTAGTTTTTATTTCAGATTGATATATACAGGACTATGCAAACGACAACCTCCCACAGCCATAATGGGGAAATATTGGTGTAACTGCAGTGAAATACCATGTTGGCACAGTATGCAAAGTAAAGTAACAGAGCTATCAACTTTTCAAAAAACCTTGGAGTGAGAATCAGCGGGGCTGACCACAATTTCATCGTTTAGGCCTACACATTAAATTCTTGTTTGTCAACTGATTTGGTAGATGTGATCCTAATCCAACGCATCTTTTGACGGATTTTTGGGGCGTCTGCTGGAGATGGATAGGGCCTCATGCCTTACATAGAAATACCATACAGAGAGAAACAATGGTGGTATAGTGGGGGTCTGGGGGTCCTCCCCCAGAAATTTTTGAATGTGGTATATAATAATAATAATAATAATAATAATAATAATAATAATACATTTTATTTGGAGGCGCCTTACAAGTCACCCAAGGTCACCCAAGGTCACCTTACAGAGCATAGAAGATAAAAGACATCATTAAAACAAAACATCAACATAAAAACAAGTGTAGTGCACAGTGTCCAGTTAGAGTGAGTATGCCAGTTTGAACAGGTGGGTTTTGAGTGGTTGAGGTGGGGATGGTGAGGAGTCCAGCAGAGGTTGAGCGGAGGGTGCGGGAGGGAGTGTATTCCTGAATGAGGTCACAGAGGTAAGTGGGGGCTAGATTGTGGAGAGCTTTGTAGGTGAGGAGAGTGTTTTTGTAGTGGATGCGGTATTGTACAGGGAGCCAGTGAAGTTGGATGAGAACAGGGGTGATGTGGTCAGATGATTTGGTGCAGGTGGTGATCTGGACGGCTGAGTTCTGAATGATTTGCAGTCTGTTGATGAGTTTGGTGGGGAGGCCAGTGAGGAGGGCGTTGCAGTAGTCGATGCGGGATGTGACAAATGAGTGAACCAGGATTTCAGTGCTGGATTGGGACAGTGATGGCCAGAGTCTGGAGATGTTGCGGAGGTGGAAGAATGTTTTGAATATGAGGTGCAAATGAGAGGGTGCTGTCCAGAATGACGCCGAGGCTCTTGATTTGGGAGGATGTGATTTCCTGCATTCTGGTGGGTTTAGGGGTAGCATTCTGGAGATGGGCAATACCTACATTCATTCAAAGCCACCCTGACTTGCAGGGCCTTCACAAGTGAACCTGCATTCAGCTCAGAGTGACTGAACTAGTTAAAACCAGAAACTAGGACTTGCCTATGTGGCATATAGCCTATTACTTTAAAGAGACAAGACCTATTTTGGATTTAAAGCAAAATTCTTGGTTGAAATGGTTGAATATAATTTGATTAAGATCTAACTAAAATATTATTTTGGGAATAATAATATATTTTGTGTATTATTGTAGTCTAAAGAGCATTTCATAGTATATATTTAGACGATGCAAGTCTAATAGTGCCTAG